GTCCGAAGGTTCATTGGTCCGAATATTCACTATAGTACCTCTCGAGGGGAGGGAGGGGGCGTACACCGGGGCTCTCGTCAAGAATCTCAGTCTTCTAGCTGTTACAAAATTCTTCCAAAGGGCGGGTCGAGAAATGATTTATAATGAGAAGAAAATTGTTATTTTTCTTTGGGGAAATTACTTTTGCTAGCTTCAAATATGTATTATTTTTATCAAATAATAGAAATTAAGATAGCTTAGGTGATCATGATTGCCGCTATTTGAAATCTCTGATGTGAACATCACTTCCGGACAGCCTTATATTACTACAGGCAATCTAATTTGCATATAAGAGAAAAATGCATTTTTTTTCTGGTTTTGAGTCATGTACAGTTTTTATTACTTTTGTAAATAACAATGTCCCTTAACCCTCACAAATTTCCAATTATTTGATCGACACGCCCTATTTATGAATTTATTTATATAAATTATAAACCTTCATATCACAGGCGTGAATCACGTTATCACGTCCAAGTCATAACATTGTTAAACTAGCGCCAATAACTGCAGTGAAGAATGTAGGTCAATTGCCTGTACAATTCTCCCATAGCATTATTGATTTTTTTCCGGAGTGGAACATTTTAGGGAGAGGCGGACGGGTGAGAGAAGTATCAGTTCAACAGCAAAATATAAAGAAAGCGTGGAGCTGTTATAATCAGAGGCTTTTACAATCTTTTAGACAAGTGTAAACATATCCCCCTTTTCCAGTTTCACCTTGTAGCACTTTCAGACAATATGATACATCTCCATGCCATCTGCCTCTCCCTAAGAATTTGTTGACCATGTTAACTGTTCAACTCCCGGCAGAAGATGAACCAGCCAACGATAGTTTTGACACACAGGTGTAGGAGCCGCACCCTGAACTTCAGATCTTAATAGCAATTAACCCTTGCCGTTTCAAGTAACTGGTAACGACAAGAGTATGCCATAGTGTAGATGTTTGTTTCAAGTTATCTCTGACGCTCAGGGTGAGAAGCCGCTCAGGGGCGAGACGGGAGGAGCGGCGGGGGGGGGGGGCCTTAACCCTTTCACAACCAACTGCGTCACATTTAGCAGGGGGCGAATGCGTTCCCTCAGCAGTAACCAGACAATTTATTTAAGTATCTTTCACTATTATTATGCATTTTCAAACTTTAACTAGGATGTATTTGTAACCCATAGGGTATATTTGAAACCCATGAAAGCCACTAGTCCCTGAGGAAGGGGCGGGGGGGGGGGGGGGGGGGGGGGGGGAGGGCATCGAATGCGTTCCATCGGCACCAGAGTCTACCGCAGCACTTTTTCCACCCTGGGCCTTCACTTAGTGGTCAGTTGTTAACAAGTCAGGAAGACAGCACTAGGGACACTCAGGTAAACTGACCATTAGTGATGGGGTCATCAGTTGACCACAATATACAGAGGTCTTTGTCAGTGGGTTATCATTGTATTTTTCATAGATTTTATATCAATTCTAAGTTTATATATGATATCAATTATTACCTGTGATCAGACATGAAATTTTGATCAACAGATTTTTGTAGCTAAAAAAGCTATAGTTTTTGGGATTTGTGTTTTATTTTTTTAGAAACCAAAGGGGGTGGGTTCAACACCCATCAACCCCACCTCTAAATCTGCCACTGGGTTAGCCCATTTTCTTAACTACTAAATATTCCATGTTTTGACATTTTGATTCATTGACATATATGTTGATTTATTATTATTATTATTATTATTATCATGCTAGAATTTATTTTGATGACTTAAGTTCAGCATGACTTATGGTTCACTTGTCTGGAACTGCGCAAATTTAACACTGATAAAAATTACAAAAAGGCTTGAAATAGGGACACCATTGTATGTGTTTGTGTTGGATAATGCGGTAATACTACTTTGTTGATTTGTGGTTAAAATATTAACATGTAAATCGCTATGAGAAAATCCAATGAGAAAACCATGTGAAGTTACAGAAATTGCCTGTGAATGATTAAATCTCTGACCCACTGATACAGAATGTTAGGTGGTCTTGTTTTCAGTTGATAACTTAAAATATTGAAATTGTGCTGACACAGTAGTGACTTGTTAATGACTGGTCAGAAAACCTGGGAACAGTGATAAAACATTGACTTCTTTTAGACAAAGCATATAGTTTTACATCTACAGTTTTTCTTTCTTTTTTGAGATTTTAAACTCTTTCAACATCTGACTTGCCAATCTGTCGGTGAATCTATTTCTTTAAAGTCTGTAAAGAACTGTCTTCTATGTCTGGTTTTATCAAATATTCATTTGGAGTTTGATATTTTGTTGAATAAACAAAAAGATGTCTCTTTTTCAACTCTTTATTCTGTCTCTAAGTCAATGAATATATAAATGTCATACATTGAAAGTTAAATAATTAAATTTTACAAGTAAATGTAAGTTCTTTGAAAATGAAAAACTTGTCTATTTTTCTTCCTGTTTTCAACAATAAAGGTAGAAGAGATGGATTTTCCAGCATAATATCAATTCTTTTTTTATAGATGAACTATCATAGACAATGTGTCTGATCATGGAAGTAAAAGGTCTGACGAATACTGAACCTACACAATATAAAAGTAATAATTATTGATTAACAATGAACAAATAAAAATTGTATCAATTACAATGATTGTTCTTTAGTTATCCAAAAATATCAATGTTTTAAGGTCCTTTTTATGCCAGTAAGTATTTCATAGACATCATTGTCAGTAATGATGGTGATATTCTCCGTGGTACCGGTAAAAGTGTCATCACCTTTATGATAGTATTCTGTTCTTTCGTCTTCATATGAATGATGGGTTATGGCATTATTGATTGACAGTTTATTTTCCACATTACTTATTTCATCCGTCTTCCCCTCTGAATCTAGAACTTTATGAAGACCACTTTCCTTGCCAAAAGTTCCATATACATTATTTGAATCATTTTTTCTTTTGATGTGCATTGTTTCGCATGTTCTGCAATTATTCCCTTGACTGAATTCTACTCCACATTTGCATTATTTTAGGGCTAGTGCAGGCTAATTTTGTTATGAACTTTTTGCCACAGAACTTGCATGTATCATGCTTTTCTTTAGTATGAATGGTTTCATGGACTGTGCAAAATCCTTTTGTTAAAGTTTTGTCACCAGTGTAAATTCTGTCATGGTAAGGGCAATTCCCTTCTCGAGTAAGAGTTTTCACAAAAACCTACACTTGAAAGGTTTGTCTCCAGTGTGATTTTTTTTCATGAAGTTTGCAAGAATTTTTTGTGTACATAAAAGTTTCCTCACAGAATCAACACTTGTTAGGTTTCTCTCCTGTGTGAATTCTCTCATGATATATGCAAGAAGTTTTGTCTTTATAAGTTTTGTCACAGGATCTGCACTTGTAAGGTTTCTCTCCTGTGTGAATTCTTTCATGTACAGTGCAATGGCCTTTTTGAGTGAAAGTTTTGTCACAGAATCTACACTTGTAAGGTCTCTCTCCTGTGTGAATTCTCTCATGATATATGCAAGTATTTTTATCTTTAAAATTTTTGCCACAGAATCTACACTTGTAAGGTTTCTCTACTGTGTGAATTCTTTCATGCTCTATGCAAGAAGTTTTGTCTTTATAAGTTTTGTCACAGAATCTGCACTTGTAAGGTTTCTCTCCTGTGTGAATTCTCTCATGATATATGCAAGATTTATTGTCTTTAAAAGTTTTGTCACAAAATCTACACGTGTAAGGTTTTTCTCCAGTATGAATTCTTTCATGCACAGTGCAATGGCCTTTTTGAGTAAAAGTTAAGTCACAGAATTTACACTTGTAAGGTCTCTCTCCTGTGTGAATTCTCTCATGATGTGTGCAAGTTATTTTGTTATTAAAAGTTTTGTCACAGACTTTACACTTGTAAGGTTTGTCTTCAGTATGAATTCTTTCATGCACAGTGCAATGGCCTTTTTGAGTGAAAGTTTTATCACAGAATCTACACTTGTAAGGTTTCTCTCCTGTGTGAATTCTCTCATGTTGTGTGCAAGTTTTTTTCGCTTTAAAAGTTTTGTCACAGAATCTACACTTGTAAGGTTTGTCTCCGGTATGAATTCTTTCATGCTCAGTGCAGTGGCCTTTTTGAATAAAAGTTTTGTCACAGAATCTACACTTGTAATTTCTCTCTCCTGTGTGAATTCTTTCATGATATATGCAAGAAGTTTTGTCTTTATAAGTTTTGTCACAGAATCTGCACTTGTAAGGTCTCTCTCCTGTGTGAATTCTTTCATGAGAAAGGCAAGATTTTTTGTCTTTAAAAGTTTTGTCACAGAATCTACACATGTAAGGTGTCTCTCTGGTATGAATTCTTTCATGCACAGTGCAATGGCCTTTTTTAGTAAAAGTTTTGTCACAGAATCTACACTTAAAAGGTTTCTCTCCTGTGTGAATTCTCTCATGATATATGTAAGAAGTTTTGTCTGTAAAAGTTTTGTCACAGAATCTACACTTGTAAGGTTTATCTCCAGTATGAATTCTTTCATGCACAGTGCAATGGCCTTTTTGAATAAAAATTTTGTCGCAGAATCTACACTTAAAAGGTCTCTCTCCTGTGTGAATTCTTTCATGCTCTATGCAAGAAGTTTTGCATTTAAAAGTTTTGCCACATAATCTACACATGTAAGGTTTCTCTCCGGTATGAATTCTTTCATGCACAGTGCATTTGCCTTTTTGAGTAAAAGTCTTGTCACAGAATCTACACTTGTAAGGTCTCTCTCCTGTGCACATTTTTACTGAATGCTGTAAGAACTTAACTGGTGGTCACTTGGATAAGGTGCTAGGACTTATTGAGGCTTGATATGTCCTTTCCAATACTGAAATTGAATTCACAATTCAACTCTCACCATAAGAATATCCATTTGGATTCTGTATGAACTTGTTGTTAACATTACCAATGCACCCAGTTTTTGTACTGAGCAATGCATAAAGTTGTATTAGCAACCCCCTGTTTAAAATCTTTAATGCAGGCATTCTATTGGATGATGTTAACTGCTGGTTACAGTGGACATATCTGATTGGTTGAAGTCATTTCTTTCCAATACTTCAGATGCCATAATTTAAAGATGTTATCTGCACAACCCATTGCATATAAATATCTGTTATTACTTCACTAAGCATTTGTAAACATGTAACATGACACCATCAAGCTACATCTAGCTAGTTAAAAGACAAGAAGTGATTTTATCAGTTAGTTTGTATTTGTCACACATGTCAGGCTGGTTCTGTACATGATGTGAAAAGTCATTCAATTAATTCAATTTGTGAAACCCTTCAGCAGCCAGCAGTTTCAAAAGGGGGTTCTTTTTCTGAAAAATGGACCTTGTACCATGAAATCTTTGTGTACTTAAATAAAATTTTAGTCAGGTGGAACATTTTCTCAGCAAAAAGGGACCCCCACACCCCCTGGCTACTGGGCATGTTCAGGTTAAGAAATTTATAATAATTTTAGTTCAGTTATAGGTATTAAAACTTTATTCATTAACTCCACCATGTTACTTTCAAAAAGGAGCAAGAATAGACTTTTTTTAATGTGAGTGCATTTAGAAAATTTTTTCACTGTTAGGTGACTGAATTTTTGTCAGCTTTTCTGTTTCAAACATAATTTATTCCTCTCAACTTATGATGATGTTAACATTTGTCTTTCAGGTGAGAGTACCATGGACACACTTGTTGAAAATTGCTGTAATATCAGTGAACCATCAAACCAGTAAGACAGAGATGGAAACACACCTACAAGTTACCCCAGATATGTACTAGTACATGTACGTTATGTTGTTTATTTTTCTTAGGGATGTAGTCATTGAATTTGCTACGTACTGGTACTGTCTAAAAGTTCAGGTACTAATGGCTATCTCTATCTCTCATTACATTAAATAATATTATACAGTGTTTGGAAACCAATCAAACAATAATATTTGTAACAATGAAAAATCTTTACTTCTTTTATAGATAGACCTGTTGAGATGAAATTTTCTGATTTCTTCAAAGAATTTTACAACTTTTGAGTTATAATTCTTGATGAGTTGCCATTGAATCATTTTCTTTGAAATTATTTGTTAAATGTCTGAACATGTTACAGGCATTGAATGTATCTGTGTTTTGATCACAGTTTTCAATGTTATCCTTGTTCATCACATCTGTTGTCTACCTTATAACTGCTAATTTAAAATCCTTTTTTCGGTTTAACTTTACTTACAAATTTAAGTCCTGTTTGTTTAGTCTAAAAATAAAGGTACAGTGTAGATAAATGTTATCTTTTTTCTCTGGCCATATCAGCCTTTATGTATGGTTAACTTCATGGTTTACTCATAGTACCAGTGTTAAATGAACTGTTGTGTCCAGTTGACAGCAACTTAAAATACTGAAAGCTTTCTGACATGAAAGTGTGTACTGATGATCATAAAACCAACAGAGCTTGTGAAGAGTAAAAAACATTTACTTCTTTTATCTGTTGTTAAGGTGAACACTTTGATTGCTTTTAGAATTTTTAAAATTCTTTTACTAATGTTGTAAAAATTTTGGTTGCTGTTTGGTGTCTGTATATTTGCCAGTTTTGCTGTTGAGTTGTTTTTCCCTTCAGAATTTTGGCTCATTTCTTGTGGAAGTAGTAACCAAGGACCAGACATTGTGGGTGGTTGCTGAGGCTCTGGACGCCATCTTTGATGTTTTTGCAGACGATCATCTGGACCTGTTGTCATGGAGATCAGGGTAACAAACAAACTCCAGACCATATGGTACCACAGCTGACAGCTAAGGTAAAACTACTCCCTGTAAGATTTATTTATTTATTTATCTATTTATCAGAACAGTTAAAGGCATATATCAGGATTTGCATTGGGCAGTATGAAAAAGATGCAGGTTTTCTTACTTATTTACAAATGATTCCTGCAGTTGGGTTTATTTATTTATTTATTTATTTATTTTTTTTTTCAAAGTATAATGATAATCTTTATTAAGAAACATATTGATGAATTAAAACGATGGATATCTTCTGAAGGAATATTGTAACATATTTCCAGATTCATGGACAGAAGAGAAACCTAGGAAACCACCTTCCTATCAGCATGACAGCAAGGACAAATCTGATGTACTTCATCAAATGCAAATCTTGACCAGTAGAACTAAGAGCGCATTCTCAACGAATTAAGCCAGGCTTTACAAAGCCGGTGACCTAAAAATGGCGGACGTACATGAAAGAAAAACCGCCTAATCTTTTAATAGTCTCTCCGCCTCTCACACGCCTCCCCACACGTCGTCCCTGCGGGGTACAGTAATTAAATCTCGGCTCCGAACATTAATATTTCCGTGAATATCTCTGGTGATATTATCTCCGTAGATAGTCGATTCATTGCTGCTCTACGGGCCAAATTATTCCTTTTTCGTCTCTGTTTTCAAAGATAATAGAACAGAAGAGCTTTTTTCCTTCGATCGCCTTCAGCCGCCATGCTTTAACTGATGAGCATGCGCACTTAATATTTCTCAGGTAGCTTCCGCATGGCGAACGGAGACGCGATTTAATTACTGTACCCCGCAGGGACGACGTATGGGGAGACGGAGAGACTATTAAAAGATTAGGCGGTTTTTCTTTCATGTACGTCCGCCATTTTTAGGTCACCGGCTTTGTAAAGCCTGGCTTAATTCGTTGAGAATGCGCTCTAAGACATGTTTTTATTCTCAAAGTGACATAAAACTCAGCAGTAAGTGGGATCAGAGAAATCTTACTTAAAAAATCATTAACTGCATTTAAAAGTCTGAAGAGTACAAATGTACTAGTGCTATTGCTGTGTAAAAAGTACTTGCTGGATGGGTGGGATCCACATACTTAATTTTGTTTCCTCCATTGTCTTTCATGTTACACAATGTTATGTTATATTTTATGCTATGCAATATACATTTTAAAGAAAATACACATCAAGCGGATGAGATCCTTTGTGTATTTGTTACTAATTATTTGCATTTTATTATAACCTTACTTCATCTGTTTTAATTAAACATGAACATACATGAATATAAAAACGAAAGTGTAGTTATCTGTTATTCAGCTGTATAGCAGGGTATGTGAATATGAGTGCTTACGTATGTATTTGAGTTTAGTTAAATGTTTGTGCAATGTGTAGTTTATTTCTATTTAATAAAACAATTTTTTAAAAAGAATTTAATTTCAAAATTGGAGATGAACTTGAATCAGAAATCAAATGTTGGTGTATTTCATTTATTGTAGATAAAAGTCAAGTGCCTTATGTTTCAAATGCCTTAAAACAAAAAGTGCTATATTATGCTTTTTTAAACTTTTTAATTTAAAGAGTCCCATTGGGTATTTGTGTTACCCATGAAAGCCACTTTTTATTTCCCTGAGATGCGTGAAATGTCCACTCTATAGGGTGGTCCTTGAAGCACATCCCTCATTCTTACGACTTGTAAATATGCCTTTTTATTCTTTGCCCTTTGTGAAACCAAGTATTATTCAGGATTTTCAACTCACATTGTCAGTGAGATATGCATAAAGTTTTGTTTACTGTGGTTTTTGAATTAATGATTTTATTTCCCATGAACTGTGATCACCCCTCCCCAATGCTACCATCAATTAAGAAAAGAAAGAAAAACAAAACACATTTGATTACAAAAAATTAATATTTTATTGTAAAATTAAGAGGATGTCCTTTGAAGCTTTTTAACTGACTGCTACAGATGCAATTAGAGTTCTGCACTGAAATTCCTGAAAAATAAAAAATGAAAATATTAAAATATAATTTAGTTATTAGCTATAAAAAGATGTTGACAGTAACTCTATAACCAGTAGCTCCCAGCTGCTATCATATAATTACTGTACAGGTTTTACCAGCTGTTTGACATAGTGAAGTTCACTTAGTTATGCTGCTATCAAAACAAGGAAACAAACGAAAGAACTTCCTTGAGACTGTGTAATGAATCTGTTCTTTTTTAAAATGATGTCAAATTTTCTGAATATCTGGAGTAATTAGATTTAATTAACAAAAACAACAACAACAAAACATAATAATAACCATTTATGTTCTTGTTCTTCGTCTGAAGCAAGACGTGAAAAGATTTATAAATCTCCACCTAGATGGGCAGCGGTCTTTGGGAGCTGAAATATATGACACAATATTACTTACTGATATCTAAGATCTAATAAACGGATATTAGATCTTAGCTGATATGCAATAATATATAACCTTCAATAAGCGGACAGTGCACCATATACTGAAAAAAATTACAATTAATAAAAATAAACAAATTGGACAAGTATTTAACTTTAATTAAGGCCTTACACATCAAAATGCAGTTTGTGTGTGGGTGTGCACAATCACATTCCATCAGTGTGATAAATCCTTATTCTATTGACCCTGCTGTCTTACCTCTCTCCTTCACGTCCTCTGTCACAGTTGCTGTGTCATTGATACTGACTGAAGAAATACAGGAAAACAAATTAAACATCCCATACATGTCAACAACAAGAATTCAATACATTATTTTACTTAGTCAAAGACACGTTCAAAGATTTAAATCACTGAACAGTGAATTTTAACTGTTTGAGCATGAGAATCTCTACCCTAAAGTCCATCTGTGTGTGTTTACACTTGTTAAGTTTGTTAAATGAATTCCTGTTAAAATGCCCTTACTGTCTTACCTTTTTCTTTGATGCCCTCAGCATTTGACACACTCTTTGTGTCTTTGTTATCGGCTAAAGAAAAAATTAAATCAAATAAAAACTTCTATATCTGTGCATGTTCAAATAGGATTCAGTACGTATCACAATTTGTTGAAGAGACATTCAAAGATTTAATTGATTTAAAAATAAATAAAATTTCTTAAGTATACTAAAGACCAAAGTAAGCTTGAGTAGCATGCTTGCAGTGTGTAATGAAGGTGTGTATGTGTGTGTGTATGTGGGTTTGTTAGTGTATGTGTGTGT